TTTCTATAAAGTGGATAATGAGATGCCTGACACATAGGGGCACAAGCAGTTGGATTTCTTTTCATATGGCCAAACTCATAATGGGCCCTCAATTAATGTTTCTTGAGTCAATAAATGAACAAATAAATTAATAAACTAATGAACCACTCTCGAAGTCGCTTGAGGGATCTCACCTTTTATTTAGTGGCAGATGGTTCTGGCCTCACAGACCAGTTATTCTTTTAAAGTGATAGTCCTATAGAGACTCACCAACTCTTTTTTTGTCAAGTAAGGTCCTTTAAAAAATCATTTGCTGTATATTATCACCCTTTTCTTTTTAAAGGACCATTTAATTTCAACAGTGTGGGAGAACTCTGACTTAAAAAGACTGAGAACAGTCCATTAAATTGATGAGATGGGTCCCCCGGGAGGGTGAAAGAGGCCCTGCTGAGAGTCAGGAGACACAGGCACCGTTCACTGCTGAGTGGTCTAAGTGACCTTGGACACCTCACCCCTCAGGGTACCAGCTTCTTTATCTATCAGAAGATAGGTTGGAACAGAAGGTTTGGGATCTCAGCTCACTCTCACATCTAATAGAATAGGCTCCTTAAGAGAGCAGTGGGCCAGGTGCGGTGGCTCACGCCTGTAATCCCAGCACTTTGGGAGGCTGAGGTGGGTGGATCGCCTGAGGTCAGGAGTTCAAGACCAGCCTGGCCAGCATGATGAAACCCCATCTCTACTAAAAATACAAAACTTAGCCAGACATGGTGCCAGGTGCCTGTAATCCCAACTACTCCGGAGGCTGAGGCAGGTGAATCGCTTGAACACAGGAGCCAGAGGTTGCAGTGAGCCGAGATTATGCCATTGTATTCCAGCCTGGGTGACAAGAGCAAAATTCCATCTCAAATAAATAATAAGAAAGAGAGAGAGCGAACAGTGGCCCCCAGCACTTATGCACCAAATAGTCCCCAGTTGTGTCTGCGTCATTGATGTATTGCCTGCGAACCTTCCTTGTTGGTGTAGTTCGCTCAGGCTTTGCTAGATGCTGTCTTTAGTGAGTGAGAGGAAGTGCCATCTAGTCTTCCTACTTGTAGTCTTCTTGGGTAGGTAAGTGAGAACTGAGGTCTGCCTTCCCTCCCAGCCCTCCGCAAAGGACAGAAGTCCTATTGGATCAAGGAGGCAGCCTCCTTGTGGCTGGAATGCAATATGGGCATTAAGGACTAGTAACAGAGTCTAATATCAACAAACATTTTCTATAAAGGGCCAGGTAGTAGCTATTTTCAGCTTTTCAGGCCATACAGCAGCCTCTTTAACAACTCTCAACTCTGCTGTTGTGGTATAAAAGCAGCCACAGGAGGCTGGGAGCAGTGGCTCACTCCTGTAATCCCAGCACTCTGGGAGACTGAGGCAGATGGATTGCCTGAGCTCAGGAGTTTAAGACCAGCCTGGCCAAGATAGCGAAACTGTCTCTACAAAAAAAAAAAAAAAAAAAAAAAAAAAAAAAATGCAAAACTTAGCCAGGGTTAGCAAAACTTAGCCGCTGCACTCCAGCCTGGGTAATAAGAGTGAGACCCTATCTCAAAAAATAAAAGAATAGACATTACGTAAGCCATAGACAGTATGTGAAAGAATGAATGTGGCTATGTTGCAGTAAAACTTTATGGATACTGAAATGTGAATTTCACATAATTTTTACATGTCATGAAATATATTCCCTTTATTTTTTTCGGCCATTTAAAATATGTAAAAACTATTCTTAGCTTGCAGGCACTACAAAAACAAGCTGCAGTTCGGATTCGGCCCAGGAACCGTAGCTTGCTGTCTCCTAGTTTACATCACTCAAGACTGTGTTCTCAGCGACTCTTAGCGTTTCCACACCCGTTCCACTAGAGGGCGATCATGCTCAAGTTGGGTTTCCTTGGCTGCTCTGATTTAACCCAGCCTCCGAGCTGGGGTAGCCTAATGTCTCCCAATTCTGATGTGCCCTGAGCCAACAGCTCCTTTCTGGGGCCTCCACCCCATCCTATATTTGTGGGGCCACAGTGAGTTACATTCCAGTTAAAGGAGAGCTCTCAAAAGGCTTGTCAGCACATGTTGGGACAGCAGAGACATATTGGCGGCAGTCAGAGAATGCACTCGTATTGTCAAGGAAGAGAGGTTTGGAGGGTACCATTGTGACAAAAAATAAAAACAAAGAGCAGTGCTCACTTCTCTCAGTGGCAGGATCCAGGGCCCTGCCTTTCCCAGCCCTCAGCCTCACTTTTATGAAATGCAGGAGTTTGAGAGAAATCTTTCCCTCTGGTCCTATGGTGTGCTAGCCGATCTCTGCCAAACTGTCATGGAGACACGAAGTGTTGCTATGTGCAGAAGAAAACACTGCATTGCAGGGAGACAACTTCTTTGTGTCCTTTCTCCCTCCCCCACTGGCCGCCCCCGATTTTATGAAGTGCAAACCAGGACCCTGGGGCCTGGCAAGGGAAGAAACTGACAGTTGCTTCCTATATGGCAGCTGGACACATTCCTGCTCGGAGGCCAGACTCTTCAGTAATGAGATTTTTTTTTTTTCCTGGAAATGAAAAGTCACATCCCAGAATGATAAACTCCCAGGAACATAGAGCATTAAGGAAACCACTGAAGCTCATTGCATGCACTCCTGTCTCCACGCAGGACTTTATGTGACCTGGAACATGTCACATGGAAGGGACTCTGGAAAAAAGGAGCCGAGTCATTTTTAGTTCCCTATATTTACCTTTTCCGTGAACCCTAAAATACACCTAATTGCATAGAATAAATGCACCTAACTGCAGCATTGGGATGCAGAATTGCTTTTTGATAAATATCTACAGTGGAAAATGGAATCCTTATTTCTGGAGACATCCAGAGCTGGGCACCCCATGTTCAGCCCGGGAAAGCTCTGTTTTGCCTGAGGCTGGACTATGGGCCAGATGACCCTGTAAGATTCTCTCCAGGCTCAGAATTCTGTGAAGTTGAGGATGTGGATTTGGAGACTGTTTAACACAGAATGCCCAAAACTGTGTCCTTTTCCCCTCTACATTCTTAATTCTTCGGGATTCTCCCTTCCCAGCCCCTCCAGGCCCCGTCTTCCTCCTCCACCACACAATTACTCCCTTTCCTTCATCTCCTTAGCCCCTGGCTCTTTCTCCAGCCCATAAGCCTCTGTCCTGCTGGCTGGAGATGTGCGTGGTACATTATTAGCCCTCAATGGATCTGAGCAAGCATGACAAGCCTCAGCATCATGACAGCAGCAGCCCTGATGAGGACGGAGCTCCCGTCCCTACTGCCAGTGCTGCCTGGCCTGAACCTTCCTGTGCTTCCTCCACAGGACAGCCCATCCAGTACGCTCACTCCACCTGCGAGGCTGGCGTGGCTGAGCTCCACATCCAGGATGCCCTGCCAGAGGACCATGGCACCTACACCTGCCTGGCTGAGAATGCCTTGGGGCAGGTGTCCTGCAGCGCCCGGGTCACCGTCCATGGTAGGAGCCTCCGGGCACTCGGGTAGAAGCACCTTTCCTGCAGACATTTCTGCTTTGGAGGAAGGGCACATTTGTAGAAAATGGTATCATGAGCCAAAATCTAGGGAGCAGAGGTGCACATGGCACTTCTTTACACCATTACCAGCGGCAGCTGCTGTAACAGAGGAGTGGCTGCTGCAGCCTCTTAGGGGCAGAGGAGAGGTTCCTTAAAAAGTGCTGCACCTGAAGGTAGGAAATGAGGGAGATGACCTCCAGGAGTTCACAGTGACAAGGGTCTGCCATCAGAGGTGGGCTTTTCCTCACCCCCTCACTCCACTGGGGCCACGGAAAGATATGGGGGAAAGAGATGAGGAGTCCCTTAGCTCCAGAAGCTCCAGGTCTGGTCAGAAGAAAACCTCACACACTACAGAAAGACTTGGGAGAGCACTCACATATTCCCCGAGCAGACAGTGGCCTCACCAGTGACTCCTTGCATGCTGGGGGACCCTGGGTCACAGTGTGCATATTGAGACTTCCAGAGGGCCACAGGTTGTCCCCTTTCTGTCCCCCTTCTACTCACGGGCCCAGGCTTGTTTTTACACATCAGCAGCCTGGTCTCCAGTAATCTGATTATCATGGTCATCCATTCATCAGCCAAGCACTTAGTCCCCAGGAACTGCAGGGAGCCACAGACTCAAGACAGATCTGTCTGGGCTGTGGTATCAGCAGGCCTGGTGACAGTTCCCACAGAAGTGCTTCTTGGGTCCAGGGCTTTCAGGTAAGCCTGATCCCACCCTCACCCTGAGCCTATGCCCCCCGCTTCTGTGCATGACTGGGTCCTCTGGTGCTAGCACTGGGTGCAGCGTGACTGGCCTCCCAGCAGACAAGCAGGAGGATACATCTCTCCCTTCCCCAGGGCTCAGGCCTGTCGGGAGCATCTCCGTATTGTATGAGTAGCCACTGTCTGGGAGGCTGGCTGCAGGAGGAAGTTTCGCAGAAAAGGGAAGAGGAAGAAACATTTGTGGCTTACCGTGTTAAATACTTTCACCTCACCTCTATTCTCTCCCTGAGACCTCAGTAGCCTAGGGGACAAGGATTCTGTCCTGATTTCAGACAGAAGGCTCTGGATGTCTCAGGAAGTTAATGTAACTTGCCTAAGCGCATCACACTAGTTTGCAAAACTGGCCCCTGGAGCCAACAGCCTGTGACTTTCAAGTCTGTGCTCATTCCTATGCCCTGACCTTTTTCAGAGGGCACATCCCCTGGCCCAAAGGGGAAGACTGGCCACTGTGGACTGGGCAATGTCAGTCCCTTAGGGACGAAGGAACTGGCACTGGTGCAGAATGTGGCGGACGCTGGCTCCATGAAGCTCTCTGCCGGGAGTGAGCACGCTCCCTGGGTGCTCTGACTGAAGAGGTGCCTCCGCATGGAGTTGTTACTGGGAAACTGGTCCACCCCTTCCTTCCAGGAAACCCACCACACTGGGCTCAGAGCCCAGCTCTGGCCTCTGGAAATGTGCCAGCCAGATTCTGGTTTACACACTTACCCATTTATCCTCATAGGTGTAACTTCATGACTCATTGGGAGCCAGGTGGGGAGCTCAGGAAATTGTGATAATGAGACTTCAGAGGAAACCTGAAGTGCTGAGAGCCTTGTCTCTGAGGGCCAGGGAGCAGGACTCACCTTCCACGTAGGGGCTCTTCTTGGAGGCCAGCGTGGCCCAACCCCAGAGTCTAGTAAGGAGCAGCAAGAGTCAGAATGCTGCACGTAGGGCCGCGTGGCTTAGCCCTCTGTTTTCCGAGACTCTCCCTCCACAGCCGCAGCCAAGGACTAATCCAGTGTCTGTCCTGGCTTGCCTGTGTTTAGATTGGATTAGAGAGACCCAGCTGAGCTAAGAGTAGCCCGGAGGTGGGAGTCCCAGGCGAAGGATCAAGAACTCTTTAGGGCCTTCCTCCGGACTCCCGGGCCTGTGGGGGCTGGGGCCTGAAGGATCACCACCCATCAAAAAAAAAAGAAAAGAAAAAAAGGCACAGAGAGGTCTCAGGCAAAAACTCTGCCAAGGAAGTTTGGATTTGCTCTGAGAAGAGGCCTGCATGACAGAACTCCCTCCCAGCGTGGGGGATGTACTGGACTGTAAAGACCAGACAGGCTCAGATACCATAAATGGTGAACAAGGCTGAGGACGCAGCCGCACACTCAGGCCCGGCAGCGTTTGGGCTCTCTCGGCACAGGATTGGAGCAGGGTGAGCCTGGCACAACGACACTCCTGGCGCGGTGCCCTGAGACACTCAGGAGGCTCAGGGCTGCTCCCTGCACTGTCCTCCACTGTGGAGTTTTTCTGACTTGATTGGCAGCCCTGTTGGCTCCGGGTCCTGAACAGCATGGGCTGGGGGAGACGATCGCAGTGGAGGTGCTTCTTCCCTACTGCACTGACCGCTGCTCCACCTCTCCCTTAGCTGCCCAGGTCCAGCCCTCTCTTGCCCTTAGTGTGGCACCGGGCCATGTGGGGGAGCATGGATGTGGAGCCAGCAGCCTGGGTATGAGTCCTGCTCTGCCACTTACTAGCCCTGCACCCTGGCGTTAGTTAGCATACCCGACCTCACCTTCCTCTTGTGTGAAATGGAGATGCTGACAGTCGCAGTACTGTGAGGATTAAGTGAATGAATGTGCAGAGTATCCCCAGAGCATAGGATAGCACATACCCTCCATAGGTATGTGCTGTGATTATGATTGTCCAGCAGAGCCCACCTTTAAACAAGATACAGTCCTTACAAATGCCAAGACTGAGGAGGGCTTTTCCCAGAGGATCCACTTTGCCACAGTATTGTTTGTTTGTTTGGCCAGGGAAAGACCATCAGAGAATCAGAGGAGGGAGGTGTCCAGCCAGACACAAGCCATAGACACACGTGCCTGCTTCCAAGGGCTCTGGCCACAAGGTGGTGCCATGCAGCAACGCATGTCCCTCCCGTTGTCTTCTCTTGGGGGTGATTGAGGGGCAGCTCTGCTGGAAGCAAGCTTATTCTGAGAGCTCAGCAGATACTGTGCCAAAGGCTGGATGCAGGGGCTCTTTCTCACCTCTCGCCTTTTCCCGAGATTTTGGAATCATCAAGATTGCTGGTGCAGCCTTCAGACACGATTTCTGCAGCCAGCCCTTCATGCTTTCTCTGCCTCCCCTTGTCAGTGACTCTCTTCTCCAAATCCCACAAACTCCCACAAATGTCACTTTCTCTGGGAAGCCTACCCTAATCACCCCAGAATGCGGTCCCTGAACACCGCGTGCTTCTAGTATTACATTTACTTATCAACAAGTCTTTACTGCGTGCCTGTGTTGATCAGTGCCAGGCATTGTTCTGGGGACACTGCAGTAGACAGGACAGCTGAGGGCCCTGCCTGCAGGGTGCTTACATTCTGATGGGGATGCGGGCAGCAATCAGCACCTGGCCTCATTTTAAATGCTGGCACCTGCTGTTAACATGAGCAGGTCACAAAGGAATAATTATCAAGAGAAAAAGCCAGTGAGCAGGGTGTGTGAATCAAGGGGGTGAGAGGGTGCATCTTTAGTGCTATGAGGAAGGAAGCCTCAGAGGCGTCCATGGCCTGGGGAAAGAGAGCGCCAGGCGGGCAGTTCAGCAAGTGCAAGGCCCTAAGTTGGGAGCAGGATTGGCCCGTTTCAGAGCAGCAAGACGGCAGCCTCTGGCTGCAGTGAAGTAGATGGGGAAGTGTGATAGAAAGTGAGTTCAGAAAGGCGGGGGTACACCGTGCAGGGCCTCTGGAGGTGAGGAGAAAGCATATTACTCCGTGAAAATTCACTTTCATTTTACTCTACTTGCTTGTTTAATTATCTTCCTCTCCAGACTGTAAGCTCCCTGCAGGGAGGGACCACGTCACACGGTGTGTAGAGCCAGGCCTGCCATGGGAGCAGGCATTCCCAAGATGGACGAGAGCACAGAGGTTGCTGAACCTCCCCTGCAGTGCAGGGAGTCATTCCCTAGAATTCCTCGCTTTTCTGGGGGCTCAGTGCCCATTAGGGTGTGCAGGAAATCTGCAAATTACCTTTAAGAGTCCCTCAACAGACTGGGTGCAGTGGCTCACGCCTGTAATCCCAGCACTTTGGGAGGCCAAGGCAGGTGGATCACTTGAGCTGAGGAGTTCGAGACCACTTTAGGCAACATGGTGACATACCGTCTCCACAAAAAAATACAAAAATTAGCCGGGCGTGGTGGCTCACGCCTCTGGTCCCAGCTACTCAGAAGGCTGAGGCAGGAGGATTGCTTGAGCCTGCGAGGTGGAGGCTGATCACACCACTGGACTTCAGCCTGGATGACAGAGCAAGACCCTGTCTCAAAAAAAAAGGGTCCCTCAACAAATATTCCTTCTTTCCCCAACACAGGCTAGGGAAAAAAATTCCCCGATGATTAACCAAGCAATGAACGTCCTTCCTCCTGACCCAGCATGAGTCTAAAAGATGATTCATTCAAATCCCTGCAGAGCCCAGGAAGATCTGAAATACAGTATAGATTTCACAGTATTTGGACTGAGTCATTGCTGGGGGCTTCCTTGGGCTAGAATATTTAAAATGTTTTTCCCCCTGGAGTATCTCTGTCAAGGCTAAAATTCTTAAGTGTCTAGATTTACTAATAGCCTGCTAATTGTACCCATTGTGACATAGTGTCTCAGCCTAATGGTTTGTTTATTTAACTGAAGGCCTGGTGGGCCTGTTAAAGGCATCTAAGGACATAAAATGTGGGTAAGTTAAAAAGATAAAAAGATGATCTCTAGAATAGATAATAAAATATAACAAACATATTTATTAGAGTATTTGTTTTGATGCAGAGCTTTTAATGAAGACAACAGGCACCAGTGAAGTCAGCATTTGCTTGGCAATAAGTAGAGGCACAGTTTGTTTTCAGATTAATACCAGGCAGTCTGCGGGGCAGCCTGGAGCCACCTCCTTTGTCTTCCCCGGTTATGCACAGGTACTTTGGACACTACACAATCTGTCCAGTTGACATAAGGTATGGACCCTGACCTCCTTAAGCTTAAAAACACTGACAACTTCTTTTTTTTTTTTTTTTTTTTGAGATGGAGTCTCACTCTGTTGCCCAGGCTAGAGTGCAGTGGCGAGATCTTGGCTCACTGCAAACTCTGCCTCCCGGGTTCACACCATTCTCCTGCCTCAGCCTCCCGAGTATCTGGAACTACAGGCGCCCACCACCACGCCCGGCTAGTTTTTTGTATTTTTAGTAGAGATGGAGTTTCACCATGTTAGCCAGGATGGTCTCGATCTCCTGACCTCGTGATCCACCCGCCTCGGCCTCCCTAAGTGCTGGGATTACAGGCGTGAGCCACTGCACCCAACTGACAACTTCTTAAATACTTATATTGGCTACAGAGAAATATATTGAAGTAGAATAAATATGAGTTTTAACTTGCCTTTTTTATATATATTAAGAAGCTTAGTTTATTCAAAACATCTGTCCAAAAGCTTTTAACTCTACAAAGGCAAGCAATTAATTACATGTTAAAATTTATAACCAATATTTTCATTTTGTGTAGATTGAGTACAGAAATAGGTTTGTGTGCCACGTGGGTTCTTCGTGTTGCAGAAAGACTTCTGAGCATATACGTGTATGTTTGTGCCCATACCACAGAACTTGAGCCTCATTTTACCAATAGGGCCCTTATAGAGCTTTATAACTCTCCACCTCCACAGCCCACAGTCAGTCATAATTACATCGAGTCCCAGATCAACAATGCTACGCAGAATCACAGCATTGAGCTCCTAGTGGCAAAATGCGACCCATGTGATGACAGTGGAACTGAAAGTGTGGTTTCCAGGCCCGCACTGGGAGGGAACAGTGGGTGGTTTGGAGGCCATACCTTTATGTTTAGAGTGTGATTATAACTTCTAAGACAGTGAAAAGGCTGTGGTTGCAGTGATCCTTGCTTCCCAGCTAGCAACCCTATCATTGCTGGTCAGAGATCTTTTTTGGGATATTATACGTCATGGTTCCTTTCATTCTTTTCCTCGCACACTTCTCTTCCCATTTGCTTCTTAAGTTCTGGGAGGAAGGGAGGCCAAAAGAGAACAAGGCTATGGGAGGAAAAATCCTTTTTATGCCACCAAGTAGCCATTTTGCTGACTTCAAGAAGGTTCTGTGTGGTTAGGAGACAGCTTTTTGTTTAAGGGGAATTCAGATGCCCCGGGGATTTACAGCTTGCACAAACCCCCTGGAAATGGGAAGGGGCTGCGTGGCGTGTCAGCAGGGAGAATGTAACTCCTCTGATAAATCCTCCAGAGTTGACAATCCTGGAATTTGGGGAAAGGAGGAGGCTGGTGGTGATCCCTGGACCATGCTAGATTTTGAACTCCAAATACAGGAAGGTGGGGGAACTATGCCTCCACGGTGCCCCCCCAATTGGTGATCTATTGAATTTCCATAGTATAACGGGGTTTGGAGTAAATCAGAATTGCTGTTGGAATGGTACTTTGCATTGTAATAACTAAGGAATATAGCTCATGTTCACAGCCTGAGGAAAATATTTGGTAGATCCAAGATTAAGGCAAACGTGCATTGAATGCAAATTTGGATCCAGGAGCATGGGGCTTCAGAAAGTAGCACGTTGACCAGCAAATGTTGGCAGGTAGAAAAAAACACTTATAAGGAGAAATTCAGAATTCAGTTGTTTTTCCTGCTAAAACCATAGAAAGAAAAGGAAGGGCCATGGAGGGAAGATAGGAGAATTACTGTAGTGCGGAAGGAGATGCCAGATCGTGACCAGCCCCCAGGACAAAGGCAGCAGTGGGTTCCTAGTGTCAGGTCCCAGAGGAGCTAAAGGCCTCGCTCCTGGTGCTGGGTTTGAAGAACAGGCTTTATTGGTTATTTTATAAGAAGAATTAGTGCAAGAGATAATAAACTGCTCCTGTTTTGTGGGTGTCTAACTCTTCCTCTAAATAAGAGCTTTCCAAAACACCATGTTGGGTATCAATTTATATTAGCATTTTTAAAGTAAAACCACTATCAATTTGTTTTTAAGAAGGAATTGTTTCGGCCGGGCGCGGTGGCTCACGCCTGTAATCCCAGCACTTTGGGAGGCCGAGGCGGGCGGATCACTAGGTCGGGAGATCGAGACCATC